ATATAACATGTATTTTAAGCCTTTCAAAGATGATTTAGCTCCCAATTCCTAATTAGAGTAAAGAAATCCTAAAGGAAGGGAGGGCAAAGATTTCCTATGCCTGCAATGTCAAATATGGTGGTTATTAACCCATGGATAGTTTGATTAGACAGAATTAATGTACAGCATGTGATTGAATTTTAAAGGCTAAATACAAAAATTAATAAAAAATTAATTAATACCTTCATATCAATCTGCAAGAAAGAGAGCAAGCTGTCTTTTTGTCAGTTTGACTCTTTCCAAACAGATGGGACAGTGTTGTTGTTCTACATGAGCCAGAAGCTTCATTGGGGCTTCCATCCTCAGCTTAAAAGCAGAGACCACCTTGCTTTTCTTTGTGCCTCACATGTTGAAGAGTTCCTCAGTTTATTCTTTGACTAGGACAATCTTTATAAGTTCTCTTCAAAAGAGGACTTGTAGTGTTGCAAATATCAACTTGGCTTCTCTCAAATCATTTCTTATGAACTAGATATTGGTAGGAGTCTTGATTTGGGAATATGTTTTAGTTTTTGTTTTTGAGAAGCAGATAAAAAAACAACAAAAACAAATAGATTCTTACAAATTGAGGGACCTGTAGGTAGTAAGTGCTTAATGAAGATTTGGAACTTTCCTTTTGTTTCATTATTTTTATTGGTTCATGACAGCTATACATAATGGGATCCATTTTGACATAATTATAAATGCATGGAATATAGTTGGCTCCAATTCACTACCCTACTTACCATTACCCTCCTGGTTCTCTGTTCCCCTGTTCCCTTCTCTCCACTCCACTGGCCTTTCTATTTATTTACATTTTTTTACATTAGAATTTTGTGGATATATATAATAGTAAGTTTATAGTAGTAAATAAACTCTGAAGTATATTCAGGTATGTACATTGGAAAATTTGGAACTTTCTGTTGAACCAATTCTCCCTTGGACAATTATGTGCTATTTTTGTTTAACACAAATGAAAACTCATTACTTTCTTTGACAAACATTTGCTAGATGCTTAGGATATAAAATTAGATAAGACCTGGTCCCCATAACCAGAGATCTTCAAGTCTGATAGAGTTGCAGAACAGGCAAAACAGTGTGATAAATGATATGATAGAGGCTCTGTCTAGGGTGCTGTACTGGCATATGGGTGAACCCCCAGACATGGGAATGAGGAAGGACATCCCTAGGTAGATTGAAATGATCTGAACCCTAAAGGAAGGGAGGGCAACAATTTCCTATACCTGCAATGTCAAGTATGGTGGCTATTAGCCCAGGGATAGTTCAAGTAGGCAGATTTATGATACAGAGTGTGATTAAATTTTAATGACTAAATACAAAATATAATGGAAATATATTTAATTAATACTTTAATAATCAATCAGAATTTTATCTGATAATGGCTTAGACACATTGATCTAAATTGTGTTATTAAGATTGAATTTTTAGTTTGTTTTACTTTTTTAAATGTGGCTCTTTGGCAATTTAAAATTACCTACATGGCATTTTTTTTTTTTTTTAATATTGCTGTCCAAGGCAGAGGCTATAGCTCATACTAAGTTTCAGGAAAACAGTTCAATATATTAGGAAACTACTAGTCTTTTAACTAAAATACTAGGGCACAAGAAGAGCAGGAAATAACAAATTGAGAGGTTTGGTGAAAAGCAGATTCTGAAGGGTTCTATAACTCATGCTAAAGATTTTGAAATCTATCTTGAAGGCACAGTGAAACTATTTAATGAATTTACCCACAGGAGGATTTTCTGATTGATTTCCTTTCTCTAAATGGTCTGCTTTCTTGTGCCATAATGCATTTGCAAAGTATGTTTTTATGGACTTGAGCACAGGGTTACATGAAATAATTTTTGACTCATTTGACTAAAATTAGCTTAAAACTCATTTACGAAGTAGCTAAGGGAACTAGAGCAGTCCTCTAAGTTGCCTACCAGGTAGGTGACTCCCATTTACTTTTGGAGACACCCTCAAAGTGATGAATGATTAGCAAATTACATTTGGAATATCTTGGATGCAGTGCTGGATTAATCATTAATCAAATCCTTCACATATTTAGGGGACCATCAAAACAGAGACTCCAAAAGGAAAATTTTAAAGAACCATTCAAAATATAAAAATATTTACAGAATTATGTTTTCTAGCTTTGTCTTTTGGACTATATAGCATTTTTTTTAGTTCCATAGTTTAGGATGACTGCAAACTTTTCATTGCTTGTTCCTCCAAAAATCTAAGTCCAGCCAAACTTCATGGCATCAAATCAGAAACTAAGAGAACACTATTAGTTATTACTAATACAGAATCGTACAGTGTGGTTGAATATCACCATTGTTTCCTCAGCTATTCTCTTACAATTCCCACCTAAACTCTTTCTCAAAAGCCAATTGACTCTCTGCCTTTCTATGTCTCCTAAACTTGAAATAATTCAAATTACATTGGGCTCTGCAAGCCAGAATTTAGTACTTACTGTCTAAACTGTTACTGCTCTAATTTCTTGGTGCATTCTACTTCTAACTGCATTTGCAATCTGCACAGTTTCCTGCCAGAAAACATGATAATAGGATGTTAATTTAAAGGACAAATCTAGACATTATGATATGGCTCAGTGCTTAAAACCAAACCCAGATGAGCCTGGGCAGTGGCCATCCATTTCATTGCTCTTTATTGTTGGTCACTATGCAGCCCTGGAGCCAGGAACAGTATGTCATCACCCATGACCATAAACTTATTCCAAATGGAAAACAATGAAGTTGTTTCAGTTATTCTTTTTGAAGGAAATGCATTAGGTTTTCATTGTAGCCCATCAGCCTACCACACCCCGTGTTCTCTCAGTGCTGGAGTAGTCAAGCCTTTTTAAGAAGCAGTTTCATGTATGTGATTATAATATTAGATTGCAACTTTAAATTCAGTATTTACACATTTTCAGTTTATGTTAAGATGGACAAATTCTAGAGTTCTGCTGTACAACATATTCCCTATAGTTAATAATATGAGAGTGTGCACTTTGAATTATGCTAAAAGGATCATTCTCATGTTACATGTTCTGCATTTCCCTCTCCTTTCCCTCTATATAGTAGTAAATTTCCTGAGAGGGAAAGAGAAAGAGAGAGAGAGAGAGAGGGAGAGAGAGAGAGAGAGAGAGAGAGAGAGAGAGAGAGAGAGAGCGAGCACAAAGGGACTTTATGGAGATGACAGA